TCACATCCGCAATTCAACACCTCACCCCTTGGCTTGTAGGCAGGCAGTCGGGACAGGCTGAATCTCCAGCTGTCGGAATTGGTTTCAATGGATTCTTCAGTTTTCCTGGGTTGCATCTTTAAGGGAGAACGGAGCAGAACGGCCTCCAACCTAAGAGCGATGGCCTCCAACCCACTAGCGATGGCCTCCACCCTAGTAGCAATGGCCTCCAACCTAGAAGTTTAACTGGATTCCTGGGTTGCTTCCAGAACGCATTCGGAGCCTGTACAAGCAAAACCATAGGCCGCATACAGATTCCCGGCTTCTTCATCGGACATCCCATACTCTTCTGACACATAGTTCCTGCAACAGTGCATGCCACCTTGCAATGTTTTTCCCTTCCCACGGTTGTTTCCAATCTTCAACAGGAATTTGGGTTGTTCTTTCAAAAACACCTTGGCCCACATCTTGAGCCAAAAGGCACGTAGATATAGGAAAAACCATAGTAGGCCGTGATCTCTGCTGCCTGGCGACGCTGCAAACCTGTGCTGTAGTGCCTTGCTCTGTATGGCAGTCGTCACCAATGCAGAATTCCAAGAGCTAGTGTCAGCTGGCGTTTGCAAAATGTCCGACCAATCGACAACGGTAAAGGGAACTGCCTTGATGGAGAAGACGACAAACAGATCATAAGGGGCCTCATATTTCAAGCACAAGGGCCCAGCGGCCTAGTAGCAAGAAGCTACTAGGGGCTCCTGGCCGTACTAAAAGGAGCAAGGACGCTACTAGGGGCTCCTGGCCTTACTACTAGGAACAAGAAGCTACTAGTAACAAAGGGCATCGCTACTAGGAGCGATCGGACGCTACTAGCCTATCCGGTAGGAAACCACAAGCTTCACATCATGGCGGCCTCACCTGAAGCAAGGCTGCAGGACCTTTCCACCTTGCCATCAGGACACAAAAACTACAGGTTTGTTTGCGAATATCATACTGTTACTATTACTAGTTACGAGTAGCAAAATGTAGCAAAATGTAGCAAGAAATAGCAAGAAGCTAGTAGGAGCCATTACTACAGTAGCAAGGACGCTACTAGGGTGGAGGCCATCGCTACTACTAATGATGGTTTTGTTTCCTATCACAACATCGCAACACGACTGCATTGCCTTTCCTAACATTTTGGTCAGACTGTTCCACAACATGCCAGGCAGGCCCTTTGCCAACCCAGTTTTCGGCCACTGCAGCCCCTTTGCTTCTGAGTTCTTCGTTCTCCTCACGCAGCCTGCAAACCGAATTTCACATAAACGGGCATTCGGGAACACGCGTGAGCCAGAGTGGGTGCACTGAAGTCTGGCTGCCGGAGGAGACATGAGATTAATGATTATAAATCCTGGAGGGCAAACCTGGCAACAAAAGCTTGAAGATGCTTGAGGCAAAGCTGCACAAAAGGTGCAAGACTCGCACCCTAAGTGATGATCGCCGTTGAACCACACAGTCCATCTCAATACCACTGTCCAAAAAGTTTGCAAAAATGGAGAGAGGATGAGAGAGGTTTGTTGTCCGATGCCGGATTTTGCTCAAGCTTTTTAGTTGGCGTGACTGTTGGCGTGTAAGGCCTCTTCCTTTGCTTGCATCTTAGTTCTACCTTCTTCTGGCCCTTTCGCAGTGTTTGCCCTTTGTACAGAATGGATGTTGAAGATGGCGTAAGCTTTGACGAAGCTGTGAACTGAAAGAAGCACCCCTCAAACAAATGTTGCGGCGGATGAGCAGAACATGAAGCGTCCAATTTTCCTCGGGCTGGGATATGGGTGGAACAAGTGCTTAGGAGAGCCTTATGCAAAACCACCTTGGTAAGCCGTGGTCGTCTCATAGACTTGTTGTCCCACAGCTGAAGGAAACGTCACTCGCGATCCCATCAGTCCAATTCTGCCGTTGCACTTTTGCAGTTTCCACAGGCGGGACAACTCCAGTAAATACCAAGACTTTCGGGGCCATAGCCGGCAATTCCTGCAAACGCTGGCCACTCCACAAGTATATTCGACTCAACACATGGCCTGTGCCGACCACAAGGCATGGCAACGTTTAGGGTGGCAAACCGTGCAAGAAGGGACCCACTTTAGGGGCCGCATTCGATACTGGGCTTCGTCAAACGCCGTCGTTGGACATGTTTAAGCATGTTCAAACAGCTTCAATCAAAAGGACCAAAAGCATTAATCTAGGGAAGTACGTGAATCAAATGGGACAAATGCTTGAAACACTAAGAATAGCTTGTCTCTCCCACATTGTCGTTTGCAAACCAAACCCTTACGGAAGGTGTTGCTGTTGGTAGCGTCAAGAACATTGGAATCGCCTCGCGAGCTCTGTGAGGACACCGGTAGCCAGGGTGACCTGCCAAGTCAACAATTAATGCCCACCCGGGTCACAAGTGGCTGTCGGACGCACTGCTCAAGCCGCTTTGCTTTAAATACCTCCAACCCAATAGCGATGGCCTCCAACCTAGTAGCTTCTTGCTAGAGTAATGCCCTTGTTACTAGCAGCGATGCCGTTACCCCCTTCCCTCGCAAATACGGGAAGGGCCTGCAGCTCCATGACCTGCGATCGCAGCTTGGCATTCTCCTCCTTGAGCCTGGCCACCAGCACAGGATGCTAAATCAAACACCGTCAAACAGTGAGGCAACTACTCGGTTACCCAGCAGCTCTCAAGAAAAATGCCCCGTGAGAGCTGGTTTGAGAGGCACCGACCAACCTTGCTTCTTTGCATGAAGCATTCTCCCGTTGAATGCCTCTGAACCTCCTCGTGGATGGGTGCATTGCCTTGGCAAACGACATGCTAATTCTACATGAAATGCGCTGTCTTGCACCACACAAGGAAAACTCCCCAAGGCCGAAGAAAAGAACTCGACAAGTAAACGCGCCCCCATGGTCAAATGTCAAGTCATAAGTCATAACTGCTCGAAAACCGACATGCCTCATAGGCCTTCAAAGTCCTGCAAGCCTAGTGGCACTGAAGTTTTGCGTGCAGCACTCCGTCTCAGGGTCTGCAAGAATATTACTTCTACACCGCGGAAACGCTAAATGATATTTTGTTCAGCCTTGAGCTGAACATTTGGCCACCAGCCCAAGCGAGAATAAGTTTACGGCCCAAAGTTGCAGGAAACTCGGCATCCTTGAAATACACTGCGTGATAACCAACAACCAAACGGCGTCACAGCAGCACAGTGAGCATAATTCTTGCCATACATTTTGGCTTGAGCTGGGCTGGGCTCGGGCTTCGGTGTTGACACAGCGCGGGCTGAACTAAATACCAACACATCTATGAGTCTATGAGGCTTCCCACCAGCAACGAACAGTCTGCTGGTGAGAAGCGTCTGCCTTTGTTTCGTGGAATCGCAGAGTCACATGTAGCATCCGTGGCTAGCTTCGCACACCCAAGCTTGTGGGTTTGTTAAGTCACTTCATCTTTTGCAAGACAACATGTATCACAACCAGATTGCTTAACTCCCTACAACTCTTTCACAAAACAATTATTTTGCAATGGTCTGATGCTAAGTAAACTGCCAAGGCAACAAAATATATTAGTAGTCGACTTTGCAGTGCTTCCAACAGGACATCACACCCGAAGCTGCACAGGTTGGACGGGAGATACCCAAAGTCAACATGTTCTTTAGCAGGATTGGAATTCAGGCGAAAAGTGGGCACCGAACATCATCCAAGTCTTTTCTGCTTCTTTCCAACATCGCACTGCTGGTGTTGTGTTGTGAGCGGGAAGCGGCCAATGCTAGCGGAGCTCAAGTTGAACTTCCGCAGTGCGTTTGCAAGTTTGACATCTTACTGTTATTTTGCCACCCAATATCTAGCCCGAAAGCGAACCCATGCTTCTTCCAAAGCCTAAGTACTTGCACCATTCCTGTCCTATAGAAGCCTCACAGGTGTCACTTGTGCAAGCACTATGTCAAAACATGTTGAAACGTGCTTGAAACTATTTTGGAACAAGAAGCTACTAGGAGCAAAGGGCATCGCTACTAGGAGCAAAGACGCTAGTGGGGCTCCTGGCCTTACTACTAGTAACAAGGACGCTACTAGGAGCAACTTGAAGATTCGGATTCGATGGCGACCACAGCCGAGGCACTTGTTGCTCCGTCCGTGAGGACTCCGGTGCAACCATCATCCATGATCTGACATCTTGCGGTGACTAAAAACAACATAATCTTGTTCCTAGTAGCGTCCTTGTTACTAGTAGTAAGGCCAGGAGCTACTAGTAGCGTCTTTGCTCCTAGTAGCGATGCCCTTTGCTCCTAGTAGCGTCCTTGTTACTAGTCCTTGACGACAGATCTGCATGTGTTGTTCCCACACAGTTGCCCAGCCTAAGATGGTCTTGCAAGTTCTGCCATGGCAAACAACCACAGCAACTTCTTAGACTCTTAGACGCTTCATTGCGTCCAAGGACATGGAGTCAACTTAAAGCTTATGGACTAATTTTGCCATTCTGTCAAACCATGTACCGTTGAAACTGTCTGTTCGTGATCAAACCTGGTGGTCTCAGGCTGACTAGCAAAAGCAAAATACTTGGAAAATCGAAGTCCCAAATCAGCTGTGATGCCCTTGCTCCTAGTAGCTTCTTGTTCCTAGTAGTAGTGCCAGGAGCTCCTAGCAGCGTCCTTGCTCCTAGTAACAATGCCCTTTGTTACTAGTAGCTTCTTGTTCCTAGTAAGTAGAGAACATCATCCGCTCTTTGTCGTCTAAGCCGCTCGGTACAGCTTGTCTATTTTGTCTGAGAGGAGATACTGGATGCTTTGATGCTTGTCGTCTGTGTTTGTCGCAAGTGTCGATTCGAAGCTTATGGCCCACATGGCCTCATGTGTCTCAAGCCAACATCGGCTTTTGCAAAGCGGAAGATATTCATAAGCTCCTTGTTACGAGTAACTTCTTGTTCCTAGTAGTAATGGTCTCCAACCTAATAGCGATGGCCTCCAACCGAGCACAAGCATGCACAAGCCACGCCACTGCAATCTTCCTGAGGAGCACACTCCACAGAAATGGGAAACAAGGTTTGCCAAAGAGTAGCCACCTTGATGCTGGCTCCAACCAAATTGGTGCATCTCGACTTCAATTGGACAGGAGGTGCTGTAACCTAGCGGACCTAGCTCCCCCCCTCTAGACATGGAACTGTTCGGAATGGGTTGCGTCCTCCCCCAATGCTCTAGCAAACTTTGACAACCACCTCCTAAAAGCAAAACAACAGCGGCACTGCCAGTTACTTTAGCATCTAGTGACTAGTGAAAGGCAGTACCGGCGATCAGTTCAACAGTCATCTGGGCCTTGCAATCTCAATGCCCTTGTGGCAAGTCCTGTGTCGAACCTGCAGTGACGATAAAGACTTTGTTCATTCAATGTTCATCCCAGTTTTCGGTGTGACTCTTAGTAACAATGTTCGCTAATAGGGGCTCCTGGCATCGTTACTAGGTGCAAGGACGCTACTAGTAATTGCACTCTCCAAAGGCATTGCCCCGTGCAGAAGGTCAATGGACTGGTTCAAATGTCTACAGCATGGACGATTTCTCAATGATTCAACACATTCAGCTGCTAAGCGACCGAGGCGACTGAGGCGACTGGCATGTTCACCAGGTAGACTGAGAAATCGCGCTGAAGCCAAAGCACATCGCCTCAGAAGACTCAGAACTTTCACAATGGGACTACTCTTAGTCCTCTTACTTAAGAAGCGATGGCCTCCAACCCAATAGCTTACTATCCTTGTATGATGGACCTTAATGAGCCTTGATGTTTGTCCCTAACTTGAGGGCTGTTACTCTAAGCCTAGAAAGCGATGTTTTCGTGTTTTGACTTGTAGGTAGGTATCGGTAGGGTAATCGTCTCGTATCCACAGTCTTGGGCGGCATGCATGAACTGAACTCAGACCTAAGAAAACCTTCGTGTCCTGCTTAATGATGTCCAAGACCGAAGATCTTCCTTTTCAACTTCTCATTTTCTAGACCTTGAGAATCCTTGAGACCTTTTTCTATCCTGTCTTTATCCTTCTTGACCAAATCTGCAGTGATGGCTTCTCGTTTACCTCTGGAGGTCTGCGGTTGAGGTCGTGTTCGCTGGACGGTGCTCTCCATCCACAAGCCTTCACAAGCATCTGTGGATGGATGAAGTCTCGCGTGGAAACATCGAGGTTGCGTCGCTGTGAGATTTTTGGTTTCCAGGGCGTTTGGGCGTTGAATGTCAATGCGGTGTGCAAAGTGTCGAAATCTGTCGAAATCGTGCAACTTTCCTGCGCGCGTGGACCAGTCGCTTTTGGTTCTCTAGGCCCTTTGCTCTGTTCGGAGCATCCTCTTGTTCCTAGTAGTAAGGCCAGGAGCCCCTAGTAGCGTCCTTGCTCCTAGTAGCGATGCCCTTTGCTCCTAGCAAAATTAGTGGACTAGTTGCTTTTCGTGTTGAAGATATAACAGGCGCAGTGAATTGTGAGGCTGCCATATTTGGTGAAGGTGGCTGTCGCTGCTTGCATTTCAGGCAACAGTCTTGGGGGAGGTGCTTGCCCTGCATGGCCGCGTGATGTGCGCGCTCTTGTGAGGCTTTCCGTCTCACTTTCATGAAACGTCTGACTTTCAGAGAAAGTCTCGAAGACAAGCCGCTCGGTTTCGAGATTTGCCGCGCTATTCACTACGTTGCTCGACTTTGCCAAGCGTAAACAAGAGTGAGCCCACAAGAGTGTCCTTCAAGAGTGTCACAGAGTCTGAGATATTGTTTTATCTTTGCGTTCGTAGGTCCATTCTTGCTTCCAACATCTTCTAACGCTTGAGAGAAACATTAAAAACGACAACTTTTGGTCGCGTTCTTGCTAGCAGCAACAAATGTGTAGTACTGGTTCCCAAATGGCATCACTTTAAACACCTTCTTGTGATTCTTGTAGTTGAGTTCAGAACGGTCCGCGCCGTGAAGCACTTTCAAGATACGCGGGTCTGAGAAGATCTGCAGCCAATTCAAACACACTGGGGCAAGCTGCAGCAATCATGGTCCATTTCATGAAAGAACTCAATCACAGCGTGCTAAGAAACGGATATAGTGATATAGTTCATAGCAATCATTGCACTGGAAATGGCAGCACTGGAAACGGAAGGAAACCGATTCGCCTCATTTAGAAGGTGCATTTGCTCAAAAATCTCAAACGGGTCCAATAGAAAGTCCTTCTGCCTGGTGGACACCTTCGGCAAACTGCGCAACACACAACGATCTTGCCAATTAACAAGAAGCTACTAGGGGCGCTCCTGGCCTTACTACTAGGAGCAAGAAGCTACTAGTAACAAGGGCATCGCTACTAGGAGCAAAAAGCTACTACATTCTTTGAACAGTTTCTAACTCTACCTGCTTAGAGACTGTCTTCGTCAACACTGCTTCAAACAAATAAAACAGGGGACCTGAACGAGGCACACGAAGCCACGGTACGACCTGCAAAACACAAGAACCCAGCGCCCATCGAGTCCACCCTCTGGAAAATGAGCATCAGTGTTTAAGCCTCAACTAGTCAACGGGGTGGCCCAAGAATCAGTAGGAGAGGTAATGATTATGATCATGATGGTGATTACAAAAGAACATGTGCATCGCTATTAGTAACAAGTGCATCGCTATTAGTAACCTTTTCTATTAGTAACCTTTTTTACATGTACAAACATGACGACGACTATAGTTGGGCAGTTGAAGTTGGCAGGTGTTCTTCAGGAACAAACCTTCGCAGGCTCCTTCGGTCAAAAACAAGTAATTTGAAGGTCTGAATCCGGATCGCACCCATTTTGCCATTTTGCTAGACAAGTGATTGGTGAAACCTAGGACAAAGTGGCCTGAAATCGTGATGCTCCACATCCACAGCGATTTCCTTTCCAATGCAAGTTGCTTTCACCTCCTGGGACAAGAAATTAAATCTGAAACAGTGACAAACTTGGAGTCCTGAAAGCATCCTTGGGTGTTTTGTCCTTCCTCATAATATCAAGATATATTTGCAGGCTAGTAACAAGAAGCTACTAGGGGCTCCTGGCATCGCCACTAGGAGCAAGGATGCTACTAGGAGCAAAGGGCCTCCATAGTGCGTTTCAGAAGCTTGGAAACACTTGAAAAATAACTTTTGTCTAGTAACAAGTGCCTTACTAATAGTAACAAGAAGCTACTAGTAACAAGTGCATCGCTTCTAGTAACAAGTGCCCTGCAGACCCTGTCTCCAAGCCTGAATCATCTGCTTGAGTTCCTCATCCGTTCGCACCATGACGAGCGGAGTATCCTGCCAGCACTCTCCCCCATGTGCTTACAAGAACGCTACATGGCATCCATCAAATGTCAAATCAAACAGAATCAAACAGTTTGCAAGGGCTTTGGATGGCCTTAAGGACGTTTGGTCTTGGTTTCAACTACCCTCTCCCAACAAGAATACGTTGCCTTGCCGAACTGCCAAGCCTAGCCTCCACCCGAGGGTATCGCTGCGCCGGCTTGCATTGGAAGAAACTATCAGGCCAAGCCAGGGCATTCAGTTCCTCGCAGTGTCAGACACCCCGTCTTACATTCCCACGTTGGAACAAAAAAACTGACAGGTGTTGTTTAAAATGTCTCTCGTTTTGGACCTTTATGAAATAATGAGCCCGACATGAATTTGCTGCTTAAGCAATGGCAACATATGGACTCTGTCCAAAAATATTGCGAAGCTTGCACACTCATTAACAAGTGGCAAGGACTTCTCTGGCAACTAATTAGTCTTCTGGCCGTGCTTCAGTTGCTTGAGCTTTGGCTTGGCCGGACGGGGTTTGGGGCTGGCACAACGCAAAGAAATGGCTGGCTTACAGGCTTACAAGGGAACAAGGATGACAAGCTCTCATCCTCCGCCTTAATGGGGTTTGCAAGATTGAAGAGTCGCACGAGGAATCTCCAAAAGGTTTGCCCATACTAGCTGTGCATAGCCTGGCTCTGGGCTTTGGTTGTGCTGTTGTTTGCTCCTCACAGAGGATTATTTCCAGCTTTCAGTGGCTCTATGGTTTTGGCTCGTGTTTCATTTGTTTTGGTATCGGTACCGAATGGGAAAAGATCTATATAAAGGGTGTTGTGGGGAGGGCTTGGGGTTTGGCTGTGTCTTTCCCTTCTCGGTGTGTTCCCTTTGTGTCCCTTGTTTGTTTTTTCTTTCCTTCTCTCCTTACTTCCTTGCTTCCCTCTCTTCCCATAGTGGTAGAAAGAAACACAAAAGGACAAACAAGTTTGACAAGAATTGATCTTCCTGCTTTACTTTTGGGCACCAAATCATTAGGGATCAGGCTTCTTCAAGGAGGCGGCCCCTGCCCTCAGGCGAGGGGAGCTTCCTTGAGCCTTTCTGCTTCCACGCCTAAGACACTGCCTGAGAAAATACTTGTTAGCTTGGTAGTTACTCGAGCCTACTAGCGGACTACTCTACTCCCTAACCAACACGTCTGTAACGAATTATGCCTGGTTTAATCGCTTCGACCCGAATGCGTCGGATTGGTCGGATCAGATTTCATTCATGGGAGATCATGCTCCAGCGGAAAGTTACGATCAAAGCCTGGTTTGTAGCGTGAACTAAGAACACGCAGTAGCAAGGCCAGGAGCCCCTAGTAGCTTCTTGTTCCTAGTAGTAAGGCCAGGAGCTCCTAGTAGCTGTAGTGTCCTTGCTCCTAGTAGTAAGGCCAGGAGCCCCTTGTAGCGTTCTTGTTCCTAGAACCCTACAAACACGCAGCTTGCGGTCCTCTTCATAAGGATTTGCCAACGCCAAGTCCTGGCTGACAAGCACAATTATATAATTGTGGGTTGACGACAACCTTTGACAGTGTGACACGGTCTTTAAGTGTGTTTTAGAACAAGAAAACACTCTTTCTCTAAGTTCAAAACGTCAACGCAGACCTAAAGAGAGTAAAGGATAGCTTAGTCCAAGACCTAACCAAGGCCTTACAAACAAGGTCAAGCAAGTCTTATTTGTAGTGGATGTCACTGACAGCGTCACTGATAGGGTCATAGTCTTGCTCCTGTGGCCGACTACCAACACCCATGGCTGCCAAGTGCGACTGCAGCTCGTCTTCGGCTGGCTTGGCCTATGCCAAAGCAGTCTTGTTACTAGCAGCGATGCCCTTTGCTCCTAGTAGCGTCCTTGTTCATAGTAGTAAGGCCAGGAGCCCCTAGTAGCGTCCTTGCTCCTAGTAGCGATGCCCTTTGATTCTCACCTTCTTGGAGGACTTGCACAAGTGTTGGGTACGACTAGTTCTGTCCAAGACACCCTTTTAGCCTTTCAAAAGAATGTGCATCCGCGGGCGAGAAGCAATATGCAATGGAAGTCAAAGGCCTATGAATGCCTATGGCGACATAAGAATGTAAATTTACAGTGAGTTTTCCTTTTTGTCGCTGGAATGAATAATGTGTGTTTTTTTTTTCCTTTTAACAAATCTCAATTTATTGAATGTATAAATTTGAGAAAAACACATAGTTATGTTTGTTCATTCCAGCTTCTATAGGTAGCTTTGTAGCCTTGGCCCGGCTAGTACTAGGGCCTAGGGGACGCACTCTCAGCTCAGGTTTGAAGAAGCCATCGTCTTTCCGAAATGTTTTTTATTCGATATTTGTTGTTCAAAATGGTTTTTGTGAACAAAATTTGCAGCATCTTGCTGTCCCACTGTCCAAAGGTCTTGTAAATCGTCAGCACAGTAGCTACTACTGGAGACTCTCTTCTCTCTTAACCTTTTTCCTCTCTTGCCCCTAGTAGCGTCCGTGCTCCTAGTAGCGATGCCAGGAGCCCCTAGTAGCTTCTTGTTCCTGGTAGTAAGGCCAGGAGCCCCTAGTAGTGTCCCTGCTCCTAGTAGCGTCCCTGCTCCTCCAAGCGAAAACGTCAAAGTCTGAGCACCCCACGCTGCTGCCAGTCGAAGGTCGAATCCCCACCTTTCGAAAGATGTGTCAAGGAACGATGTGAGTAGCAAAAAGCTGGTTAAAAAAAAGAAACACATCGTAAATCAAACACAACCAGGGCAAGAAATGGTAGGTTGAAATCAGCCGCCTTCGCTTGAGCCTCCAAGAGCTTTGGTGATAATGGTGATTCTTCGTTGTGTTTCACCAATAATCTGGCAAATCTGTGCAAGTGGGTGGATGTGCAAGATCACAAGCAAACACATTTGCAGGACACCCATTTCAAACACCAACACTAAGGCGCAGCTGAGCTCACAGCTGTCACGAGTTCGAAACACTTAGATTCCTTCTGCCTTCTCATGCCTTCTGTTTCGTTGTTTTTTTGCTAACAACGTGACTTCCTTCAAGCAGGATTTGCCATGCGTCTCCATTTTATCAAGTCTTCGCAAGTGGTTAGTAAAGTCAGTTACACCTGCCTGGGCACAAAGTGCGTTCTATGATTGTCAATGAGATGTCGCCAGCGCACCTAGCGGTGTTGGCTGGGACATACAGCATCTGCAAGGGGCTAAACACGCCATTTCAATCATGTTGCTAAGTGGAAAATAGGAGAGACATGGAAAAAAGAGAGAGAGAGAGAGAGAGTATGAAGCTACAAAGACTATCCGACCTGCGGCTTTGGCAAGCGGCTCGCTGGCTGGGTTGCACCTGCTGGCAAAGTTGCAACAACAGAATGACCAGTCACGACAAGCCTGACAGAATTCAAGGCAGGGCAAGCCTGGAGCTGAATGTGAAAGCTCCTTCTCTTCCTCTTCAGCTTCCTGGAAGAGCTACAAGTACCAGTACAAGGCCAAACAAATCAAGAATGCATTAAAGAAAATCCTAACCGCAAACAAGAACAACTTGCTCAAGAGAGTGCATCAAACGAAAACAGAACATGTCAGTATCTCTTAAGACACGCTTGATACACTCAATATATCTTTATTTCATTACCTGACACACAGGCCTCCCGTTGCACACCTGCTGCTGCATTTTTCAGATGCCCATCGGCACGCTCCAAAATGTCGTCGATGCTGTCCACGAGGAGGTTGAAGTTCTTCAAACCCTGTCATCGCAAGGCGTTGCGGCGTTGCAAAGGGTTTTTTTTTGATGTTATCTCGTCTATTTGTTCACAGTTATTCTTGAAGAGGAAAGGCAATGAAGAGGGGGATAGGAGAAGCTAGAGGTCCAGGTAGCTACAACTGAGAAAATAGGGTACACAATTTGTAGCAAAGGTTTCCTAGAGGGAACACATGGAGCATGATGACTTTTAGATTGTGGTTTCAAGACCAGGCCATCGCTACTAGGTTGGAGGCCATTGCTTGTGGTTTCAAGACTCTTAGTTCAAGCTCCAAGTCCGTGGCCAGCGAGCATAGCAAATTTATCTTGTTCTCTCAGTAGGGATGCATCATTTAAGTCATACTCATTTCTGAAGGTCGCCGCTGGTCGCTGTGGACAAAACCTAGCTGATGAACTTTAGTGTGCAGTCCATCGCGAAATCAAACAATAATTGGCACATTCCTTTTGAACACCATGCTACTGACTGTCATGGTGAAAACCATGCGGATCCTTTGTCCACATGAGTGAAAAGCTATGGCAGCTGTGCGTTTGAGAAGACTCTCAAGCGCAATTGCCCAAAAGATCGGTCCAACCTACAAGAATAGCTACTAATGGCGTCCTTGCTCCTAGAAGCGATGCCAGGAGCCCCTAGTAGCATCTTTGCTCCTAGTAGCGATGCCCTTTGCTCCAAATAGCTTCTTGTTACTAGTAGCGTTAAGACCTCCACTGCCATGGAGACTCTGTAAACCTTAAATTGTTTATTTTTGTGAGGTATGCTGTAAGGGGAGTTGTAAGCAAGTCTGTAAGAATTCTGTAAGCGAAGATTTGGTGGTTGCAGCCCTTGTGAGCGGGTTGTGATTTGGTTGTGAGCGGGCTGTGATTTGCCTGTGACCGCTCACAGACCGATGACAGACTTCTCGCAGGCCCGCTTGCAGACTTCTCACCGCTTGCAAATTTCTCACAGGCCCGCTTACAGGCCCGCTCACAGAAATAAATATTTGATCCCTATGTAGTGTTTGCATGGATCGATGGTCTTAATAGTAGCGATGGCCTCCAACCTAATAAAAACGCGGTCCAAAGAGACTGCACAGTCTGAAACTGCTGCGCTCGCATGGTCAAACAACACCTGGGTGCAGCAAAGCTGAAAACATCCGTGGCTCATCTGTGTAATCGGTTAGCCCGATCAAAACAAACAAGCAAAGCACAAACATACATGGATCGGGCGGTCATTGTCTTGTAAGTCAAGGTGTTCAGCCATTGTTCAGTCAATCCTCTAAGTCTTGACAGAATTACAAGAGATACAAACACAAACGTGGGTGAGCGTTCTTCACCAAGGCACCAGTTTTTTGAAGACTTTCGACCTCTTCTGCGCTGAAGCCGGCATTCTTCAGCACTTCTTCTGTGTGCTCCCCAAGTTGCGGCGGTGGCCGGCGATAGGTCGCCGGGGTCTCAGAAAACTTCAGTGGCGAGGCCACCAGCTTTGCCGGCGCACTGTGGCCTCGCACAAAGGGAAGTAGCGCGGTAAAACAAGTGGTCATAATGACAATAGAGCATGGATGGCATTTTTTACGGATACCCGCAAAACGAAAGCTTTTGTGCCTTGCATGCGATTGTCATCCTTTGTTTGAAACTCTAACATGGGCGGTTTGTGTTAGAGTCTTTGTCTTTGATGCTCTAAACTTCACATTTGTCCGTCTTGAGGAACTGTTGGTACCTTTTGCGGACAAAGTAATGCTCTGCATTGGTCACTTGGATCAAATCTTGGAACGTATTTGTTGCATTTTCCTGGCTATACGGGCACGCAAAGTAGTGACTGGACAATTGGATAACATCAATACTCCCTGCAGGCTCTTCTATTCGAACATGTTCCGTCGATAAATTGTCAAAGGTAGCTCAAGAGTCGGTTTCCCCAGTAGTTCATGAACCTGCAAGGCATTGATCCTCTCAAGCATGGTTTTCGCAAAGCGCTCAATCTCCCAGCCAATATACAAACGTGCCCACAAAAAAAATGCTGCTTCGCGCTTGAAGTCGTTGTTCAAACATGCCAACAAAACTATGACTGTGATAGATGCTTCGCAACCAGTTTAAAGTTTTGACTAGTTCAACATTTCATGTCGGATGCTTGCATCCTGTTGATTTGGTTTAAGTAGCCGTGATCCGCAGCATCCTCGCTGAACTGTACCAAGCCCTCATCTTGCTGCTTTGTGGGTGAGGGATAAAAAATCACAGCGTTTAAAAAAAAAAACATGAACAATATTCACAGCGAAGAAAAAGATAATGGGGAAAGGACAGTAGTAGTAGTAGTAGCAGTAGTAGTAGTACTGGTGGTGGTGGTGGTAGTAGTAGTAGTAGGGCGCAGCACTTCCTACTAAGCGAAGGTTTCTGGCTGTCACGCTAGGCGAAGGTGGGCCTTATCATCCACCTTTGGTACTGTCAATGCAAAGAAGATAGTAGTTGTGGTAACTTTGGTGAGACTGGCAGTGGGGTGGTCGGAGTGTTGGAGGCACTGGCTGTAGCAGGGGTAATGGTAACTACAAACAAATGCAGCAGCAAAGTATAAGCAGCGCTATCCCCTACTGGGAAATACCCTACCAGCGAGCTAGCGCCCCACTGGGAAGCTATCTCTCTACTAGGGAGCTACCAAGACTGAAGGACCATACCAGCGGACTAGGAGACCAAGGGACCGAAGGGGCAGGGGACCAGCGGAGTAGGAGAGCAAGAGGCCAACGGCCAGGAGACCGAAGGATGATGGGACCAGAGGACCAAAGGACCAGCGGACCAACGGACCAGGGGACCTAGTCAGGATGTTTTTTTGATCAAGTTCTTGATCCTGGTGCCCTGCTTTATCCCATCCAGAAATCTTGAGTCCAATGTCGATGATGACGAACAGGTATGTAATTAAAGAATCGCAGGGACGTGTTTGGTTGGAAGAGCTGGCCTCCACCCTAATAGAGATGGCCTCCGACTCTGACCTAACAGTATGTTCAAACAGCAGCTTTAAATGTTTCTCTGTCACTCGATGGTGCGATCTGAATGTTCTACCTTCATGATGCCTTTTCCGAATCCAACATAGCTAGGGCTCAAGTCGTCCAATGATTGTGTATTACATGGATAAACTGATATACAGAAAATGGCATGGGATCCGCATCTTAACAAAACGCATCTGGAATTGTAAAGAGTTGCCAACCATACTACATGTTCCAATGACATGCTTCTAAGGAGTACAAAGTGTACACAGGTGTGCCAGAAAACAATTGATCATGCACAATGTACTTGATGCATTGCAATTCGTTGTAAAGCCAGCCCACCTTTGATGGGCATCTCAATCACCATGTCCCGCCTTGGTTTTTCCATTTGGGGGGAGGGGGGCCCGTGTATTTGGATAGGTGGAAGGGATTAGTGCCCGTTGGCTGTTTCTTTGCTAGAGAATGATCCCCCCCTATGTTTTAGCAAAAACACATTTTCCTATAAAATAGGCCCTTTATAGCGAACCCAAGTCCGCCCATTCTGTAGGGAAAATTTTAACGGAAATGAACATCTGCGCAAAGTTCTTCTTAGGAAAACAAAAGGCAGAAACAGCGAAGGGAATGCCCCTTTATTCAAACGGCCCCTCCATCATTGCCAAGGAGCGCTTTGACATGCGGGTCGTCGAAGACTTCCTCTGAAATCTTCCGCTCGTCAGCAAGACAAAGAACAACTATGAAAAATGAAAGATCTATAAATAAAAGAAACAATCAAGGTGACGAGGCAGCCCAGAAGCACAGCACCAACATGAAGAGAGATGTCATCTGTACATGTTTTGTAGAGATATGATACAAAAGACAGCATCTAGATCTATGTGTTCCTATACAATCATACCAGGTGTATGAAAAGCGTATGATGGTCATGAAAATGACAATGAAAGCAGCCACCTTGAAAAGGAAAGCGGTTCTGGAGACAATGGTGACCATGACGGTGCTCTATTGCACACACCATTTCATCCCCGGTCAACTGTGAGACGACGTTCAGACTTCACCAACACCGGAATTGTGACATCTCAAAGGCAAATTCTGCGAGCGTGCGCAAGCAAAGCCCACTTTGAGCAACTTTGAACGTCAGTGAAGCGATGATGACATGATGATGAAACCGGAGAGCAAGACGATCAAATGAAAACACAATGTTGAAGGCTTTTCTGGTCCATATTCTTAATGAAAAACACCATCCGCAAGTACATGTCAAAAGCAAGAGAAACATATAGGAATATAAGACTACAGGTTCAAGAAAGAGAAACCATAACAAATCATTCGAATTAAACTGCAGTTCCTCAAGGTTTTGGATGCTGCTGCAGCCCACGCTGGCTTTCTCCAACTCTTCCAGCCACCAAGCTACAGGTTTTTGCCTGAAACGCACGGGGTGGGGGGCAACAATGCCATTTCAACTACCCTTCACAAGCTTTAGATTGGGGGCCTTCGCTACTAGGGTAGAGACCGTCGCTATTAGGTTGGAGGAGGCCATTGCTTCTCGGTTGGATAGCAAAAAAATCTTTATCACTTGTCACACACTAGCAGGACTTTTTAGCCAACCTATCCTACTGAGGCTTTAGATACCAGGAAATATGGTGCTCTACATGTATCTGAAAAGGATATCACAAATGTTTGAAACATGGTTTCTGATGTTTCCTTCGTTCCTTGTCCTGATTGTAAGATTCTTGTTATGTAGAGGGTGCACATTCCAGGCTGAAGGCCCTACCAGTGCTCTTGTGCTCTCGCTACATTTCACAATTATTGTTTTGTTTGTTGCGGTTATTTTAGAATTATCCTTTAGACATATCTTTTGTATTTTGTTTCTTTCCTACTTCCTCCTTAGGTCCTTTGTTTGTACGTGTTCAATGCTCAACTACAAAATGATTCAACTGCGCCTTGTGATGTTGTTGCAGGCGTCCGTCACCAATTTCCTCAGCAGCTGTTTGAGATTATCTTTGCTGCGTTCGCATTCTTGACCACTCGTGAGCCTATTGGACAACATTAC